AGCATGGAGAAAACTAGTGTGAGGCCTGAAAAACTCAAAAGTTAAAGTACAGGGCTGTGGCTGGAGACACAGAACACACTCGCCTGGCAGGCCCAAGATCTTGAGTTCAATCCCTGGTACTGTTTAAATAGTAGCTCATTGGAAATTGGCTCAGAACGGTTTTAAAAAAGAGAGAGAGAGAGATAAAACTTGGTTGCGGTTATTTCTTTTGACAACAAAACTCAGTTCTTTTAATTTTTGAATGTGGCGACCTTACTCTGCCTTTCAATCATTAGGGAGAACTCTGTTTTTAATATATTTCATTTATTATTAGAAGATGAGGCTATTTTCAGATCATGCAGGCTGTCATCTTTCTTACCTGTCTCTAAATTGCTACTGTATCTTGGTAAATCTTAAAATCATGTTCCTCAGTTTTTCTGCTCGATTCTTGAAATCTTTACGTCAGATAATTCTCCTTCTAGAAATGTGAAGGAGCAAGAACACTCTTTTGTCTAACACCCACATATCTTCTCCACAGTCAAATATAGCCAAGTATGTGGGTGTCACATTGTGAATGAGGTATGTTCTCCAAGATCATTTGTAAGCTGGATATTTGGGAATATGAGCATTTACCCTCATCCTTGTAAATGTGTGTGTGCGTGTGTGCGCATGCATGTGTGCATGCGCCAGTACTGAGGCTTGAATTCAGTGTCTCATGCTTTTGAATAATTTTTTCTTTCAAGATTGGCACTTTACTACTTGAGACACACCTCCCATTCTGGCTTTTAGCTGGTTAATTGGACATGAGATGGATTGGTCTGCCGGGCTGGCTTCAAACCACAATCCTCAGATCAGTGAAAAAAACTAAGGGTCAACACCCAAGCTGTGAGTTCAAGTGTATCTATGAAAATATTATGCTTAGGGTTGATTCTTTCTTCTTTTTTTCTTTGATGATTGACTTTTTTTTTACTTTAGTTATTGAGGGCACTTTTTTGGCCCCTTACTGGGGCTGGTGGCTCACGCCTGTCTTCCTAGCTACTCAGGAGGCTGAGATCTAAGGATCTTTGTTTAAAGCCAGCTCTGGCAGATAAATTCGAGAGACTTATCTCCAATTAATCAGCAAAAATCTGGAAGTAGAACTGTGGCTTCAGTGGTAGAGCACCAGCCTTGAGTAAAGAAGCAATGTGAGAGTACAGGACCCAATAAGGACACACAGATACATACTAAATAGAAGCAATAATCATTTCTGCCCTGTGGGGTTATTTTATATGTGTACACATACAGAGTAAATTTTTGCTTTCATCAACATCATCATCATCATCATCATCATCCACACTTTGTGGTTACTTTAGTCTACTTTTTAATTTAATTTTTAATTTAATTTAATTTTTTATCAGTCGTGGGGCTTGAACTCTAGGCTTGGGTGCTGTTCCTCAGCTCAAGGCAAGCGCTCTACCACTTGAGCCACATCTCCACTTCTGGTTTTCTGGTGGTTTATTGGAGATAAAAGTCTCACAGACTTTCCTGCCCAGGCTGGCATTGAACAGTGATTCTCAGATCTCAGCCTCTTGAGTAGCTAGGATTATAGGCATGAGCCATCAGTGCCCAGCTTTACTTTTTTATTTTGAAAAGTGTGTGTGTGTGTGTGTGTGCGTGTGTATTTCAGGAAAGGAAGCTTTTCCAGCCTTCATGTCTTTCTCCATTGTGTGGCAATCTGCACATTGTCACTGAAGGTTAAAGTGACCCTTCGCGCAATTATTGCCAAGGAGGCCTCATTTTGCATAGTGAGTCACTAACCCTTAGAAGTACTGGTGAGTCAGTAGCCTGCTAAGGGGCGATCAGAAGTTCTCCTAGCTCAAAGTGAGAGGATCACAAGCCCGGGCCTGGGGTGCAGCGAGAAGCAGTAAGTATGCTTGGCTGGCCATCAGGACTGGGAGTGTTGGCGATACCCAGGCTGTGGATGGAGAAGACACAATGTGGTAGGTAAATGCTGGGCTTACAATCACAGAACTCAGTTTGATTTCAACTCTTTTTTTTTTCTTTTTCTTTTTGCCAGTTCTGGGGCTTGAACTCAGGGCCTGGGCACTGTCCTTGAGCTTCTTTTGTTCAAGGCTAGCACTCTACCACTAGAGCCACAGCACCACTTCTAGCTTTTTCTGTTTATGTAATGTTTATGTTTTCTGTTTATATAATGTAATGAGGACTCAAACCCAGGGCTTCATGCATGCTAGGCAAGCACTCTACCACTAAGCCACATTCTCAGCCCTTAACTCTCTTACTCTTTCTTGCTATAGGGCCTCAATGAACACAAACTCTGTGCCTTGCTGTTTTATGATCTGTAAATAGAGATGGTCTTGCTAGAAATTATTTCATGGTATTCATGCTTGGGAAATTGCTGAGAGTCAAGTATCAGTACTCCATATAAAGTACTTACAACCACCAGCATCGTCTCGGTGTGTGGGAGCCTGGGCAGACCATTCCAGCAATTTGTCTGTGAGCTGGCTGTAGGTGCTCACGCCTGGAATCCTAGCTACCCAGGAGGCTGAGATCTGAGAATCGCATTTAGAAGCCAGTGCAGGCAGACAAATCTGAGAAACGCTTACCTCTAGTTAACCAGCAAAAAGTCTGAAATGGAGGTGTGGCTCCAATGGTAGAGCTCCATACAAGGAGAAAAGCTAAGGGAGAAGGTGAAGCCCTGAGTTCAATCCCCAGTACCAGCACCCTGCACCCCTCAAAAAACAACAACAACAACCACCACCAAATCTTTGACCTGGTGAGTTTTGGGGAAGAAGAAGACACTTAGGAAGCATTAAGGGTTAAAAAAAATAGTGAGGTCCTAATTCCGTACAGCACGCCCATGAAGAATGAGTGATATGTGCTCACTTCATTTCCATTTTGTAGAAGAAGATCTTGAGGAATAGAGTACAAGTAACCGCCAGGCAAAAAGAGCAACTGAGTCAGGGCCATGGTAGCTAGTGCCTGTATTCCCAGTGAATTATAAGGCTAAGGTCTGAGAATCATAGTTGGGCACTAGCTCAGGCAGACAAATTAGTCAGACTCTTATCTCCAGTTAAACCAACTAAAAGCTAGAAGTACAGATTCAAGCTGTCAGGGGCTGGTGGCTCACGCCTGTAATCCTAGCTACTCAGGAGGCTGAGATCTGAGGGTCTCGGTTCAAAGCCAGCAGGGGCAGGAAAGTCCGTGAGACTCTTAGCATTAATTAATCACCAGGAAACCGAAAGTGGTGCTGTGGCTCAAAGTGGTAGAGCACTAGGCTTGAGCTGAAGAGCTCAGGGACAGAGTCCAGGCACCGAGTTCAAGCCCCATGACCAACACCACCACAAACAAAAAGGTTCAAGCAGTAGAGTACCTGCTTTGAGTGAAAAAGCAAAGGGCAGACGCAAGTCCAAGTCCAGTATCAGAATAGGGGGAGAGAGAGAGAGAGAGGAGGGAGGGAGGGAGAGGGAGGGAGGGATTGGCTGAGGACTAAGTGAGAGGGCTGAGCTTCCATTCAGATCCTGGCATTACAGGGATGGCCTTGGCAGAGCTAGTCTCGCTCTGTCTGACTCCACAGGATGCTAAAAATATGAATGTCATGTCATCATCCCGTTTTCTTCCTGCCCTCAATCAGCCTTCCTGATCTCAAGCCATCTTCACAGTTGCCTGTCCTTTGTGTTTCTTTTTACTCTCATTTTATACCTTTCATTGGTATCTCATTTGCTCCATATGTTTCAACCTCTGGGCTTCCATTTCTCTTCTTTCTCTAATGCAGAGCCCCCCTCCCCCCCTGCACCCGCACCTCCTCCCTCCACACCAATCAAAATCCTGCTTGCATCTTGCCATATTCATGATCCTACCTCATTCCTCGAAAACAGCTCAGGGAGCCGCAGCCTCTACCCCCCCTCTACCCCCGCCCCCTCTGCCCACCCTCCATAAATTCCAGCAGTCTGCAATCAGTAACTTCCACACCACACTCCACAGCTCCGAGTTTACACTACTTGTTACCTCCCCCCCACCTTTACTACTGTTCTCTAGGGTTTCTGCAAGAAAGAAGCAAAAGAAGGAAAGAAACTAAACAAATAACATCCCCCCCCCCAATAAAAACAAACACCTCACACTCTCTTACTTTACAAATATCCTGGGTACAAGTTGCAGCCAGAGTTAAGTTTCCTCCTGCATTTGCACAGCTCAGGGTTTCATCGGGGCTAAGTTTCCATTATTCAACAAGCCCAAGAGAAGGAAGGAAAAGAAGCACGCTGAAGCCGAAACCCTCAGTCTTGGGCCCCCCACCCCTCCCTCTTGGCTCGCCCACCCCATGCCAAGCGGAGGAGACTCTGCGCTGTGTCTTTGTTGGGTCATTGATTTCCCTGCTCCGGGAGCTCAGACGGCCCTGAGTGTGAGCCGCGTGCCCACGTGTGCGGCCACGGCTGCCTTTTTCTCCAAAGGGCATACCTCTCTTCTTCTGCCATTTTCCCCCCCGGGGCTCAGCGCTGGTGGCTTTCCCTTGCTTTCTCTCCCTCCCTGCCCCCAACTCAACTCAGCCTGGGCTTTTTTTTTCTTCTTTCTTTCTTTCTTTTTTTTTTTTTCCTGTCTCTTAACTTCACCAGTGAGGTAGCAACTAGCTGAGCTGTGTGTGTTGTGTGTGTGTGTGTGTGTGTGTGTGTGTGTGTGCATGCACAGCTAGGCCAAGCTTGCCTGTCACTGGAGAGTTTTTAGTTTGCCTTTCAGAAGAAAGGAGGAGGGGAGACGGGTGGGGAGGGGGAGGGGGCGGGGGAAGCGGGGGAGGGGTGCGGGGAAGGGAGGGAGAATGTCTTGTTTGTGGCTTGTCAGCAATTGCTGGAGACAAGCTTCCATGTGTGAAAGCTACTTGGCATGAATGCCTGGGCCGTACCAAGTGTGAGCACAGCCAGAGGGGGAGGCAGAAGAAAAACAGATCAGACCAGAGCAGACAATAGGCCCCTAAAGTGTTCCCCCTAAGTTGCTTTGATGTTGTCCTGGTGTCTTGATACCGGGAGGCCAGGGATTGCAGGCAAAGGGTCTTTTTTGGGGGGGTCTCCATTCACTTTTCCCCCTCAGTTTCTGAAATGATTCTCCAGAATTTCTCCTCATAAAAAAAAGGTAAGAGCCCTTAACAATCGCTTCTTCAGTGGCAGGCTGCTTGCTGGGTCTGGGAGTGGAGGTCTCACGCCTGTGCTGGCGTCCTGCGATGGGAGCTCCCACGTTCACTGCTGCTAGTCCTTGCCAGGAGCTCAGGGCTGGGAGTGGGGGTGGGGGTGGCCCCTCTTTCTAGAGAGCCCCAGTAACAGGATCTGTGCCTCTGGGTTGGTGGGGGAGAAAGGGGTGGAAGGAGAGAGGGGTGGGAAGAGGGTGGAAGGGTGGAGGGTGGGAGAGAGAGAGAGGGAGAGAGAGAGAGGCATGAAAGATGCAGGAAAGCAGGGTAGAGAGAGCCTCGGCTCAGGGAAGCCTTAGAGCCAACCAAGCCCAAAGAGGCCTAGAAGCTTTGCCGCGCAGTTCCCAGGCTGGGGTTTGACGAGTGACTGCAGACATTGCAAGCAACTGTGTGTGTGCAAGTGTGCCTGTGGATCTGTGTGTGTGTGTGTGTGTGTGCGCACGCGCGTGCGTGCGTGCCTCACACTGCCCTGGCATGCCTCTTTGGAAGGGGTGGTACCCCCAGCCCTTAGCACCCACCACCCCCAAGCCGCCTGTAGGAGAAAGGCAAGAAGGAAGAGCAAAGAAAGAGAGAGAGAGAACTCTGCCTCAACACAATCCAGAAACTTTCCCAGTTGAAGGGATTTCTCTTGTTGGTAGACACTGTCAAAGACATGAAGGTTGTTCCCCCGCCCCGCCCCCCCTGCCTTAGTCTCCTCATCTGTAACATCCAGAGAGCTAGTTTGGGGGGTAGGTGTGGAGGGGGGCTGCCTGGTTGACTGTCTGGAAGTCAGTGGAACAAAACAAATCACTCGGTTTCAAAAGGCTTCGAGAAAGCTCCAAGCTAGAAATGTGGTGGCATCCCAAAGTAGAAGTATTGGCATTATACCTGATGGTCACCAACCATGGTCAAAGACTGTCCCTAAAGGCACCCCAAGACAGACAGACCCAGGGAGCACACATTGGGGGTCTGAGCATTTCCTAGAAAACAAAAACCCTTTTCCACCTGTTGGCTTCTGTCCTTTTCTACGTGTCTTTTCCTTAGATTTATTGGCTGATTTTCACAGAGAATGTGATGGGAGGGGTTGGATTTTTTCTTTTTCCTCCTCATATATATATATATATATATATATATATATATATATATATATATGAAGGTCAATGGGAGATGTTGGAGAGAGAATATAATGTGCTTCCAGTGATAGTCATTGAGTGAAGATCTTGTGTTTTCTGGCAGGGCTGTAAACTCTACCTTGGACGTTAAAGATTTTTATTGTGGCTTTTAGAGATTAAATGAGATTTATTTACAATCGCCGTTTATCAGAGAGTAAATATCTTACTGTGTCGGTGTGAGGGTAAAATGCGCTGGCTGTTTACTTGCTGGTGGTTTTGTGGATAAAGCCTTTTTGCTGTTTAACGTGACATCTTGAGCGATGGGAGTGGAAGGTGACAATCAGTAATATTCATCTTTAAAGTGTGTGTTTGGAAGCAAAATAAGAAAGTCATCTTTTTTTGTTGTCGTTCTTGCTGCTGTTGGTTTGGAATTGTGGGTTTGCTTTCTTTTACACAGGGGTTTGCTTTCAGAAGCTACCCGTTGCGGGTCTACTGGAATTCTCTGGGGGAATTTGGCTTTCTTTGCTAATTCTAGGTCTTCTGTGACTCCAAGCACACTTACTTGTCCAAAAAAAAAACCCACAAAGAAACAAACAAAAAACTGTCAAAGTCTGGGAGGCTGTGATTCCTGCCATTCCAACTCCAGTCTGAAATAGCTGGAGACAGGTAGCCCCAGCTTAGAACAACCATAGTCTTCCAGAAAAGCCTGGAATCCACTGCTGGGTAGGATACAGGGTGAAGGACAGATGTGAGCAGGCCTGCATCTGACATGAAGGTCCCCACAACCTCCTTCAATTTGATGTTTTATTGGACTAGAGCTGCAGTTTTTGCATCTTTTTTTTCCTGTGCCAATACTGGGACTTGAACTCAGGGCCTTATACTCTGTTTAGCTTGTTTGATCCAGGCTGGTGCTCTACCATGTGAGCCACAACTCCACTTCCAGCTTTTGACTGGTAAATTGGGGAGAAGAGTGTCTTGGATTTGTCTGCCTGAACTGGCTTCAAACTATAATCCTCAGATCTCAGCCTCCCAAGTAGCTAGGATTACAGGCATGAGCCACCGGTGCACAGCCCAGCTAATTTTTTTTTTGTGGGTCTTTACTGTATGCCAGACCCCATTCTGGGCACGGAGGACATAGAAAAAGAGCCAGACATGATGTGCCCTGTCCTCAGGGAGCGGCCTGTATGATCAATATTAACCACCTGGCTACACAACTCAGTAGCTATCACACTGATCATGTATATTGAACAGCACAGAGATAGCATTATAGATCAAATCATAGGAGTTATTGATCTGTGACCACACATGAGCTGTCTGTCTCTTTCTGTGTGGCTGCTGCCCTTCGACCCCACCGCCTGGCAGTGCACTGGTAGCATTCAGAGCCCAGTAGTTCCAAAGGCCGAAGACAAATCACACCCACCCCACCCACCACTAAGATAGCAAGATACATGCGTAAAATCTACTGACCCTCTACACTGGACTGCTAAATCACATCATGGCCGGCCAGTCATTGATGGCTCTTTCCTTTAATCTTAGCTATTCAGGAGGCTGAGATCTAAGGATGGGAAGCAAGAGTGTGAGGCCCTGAGGTTAAGCCCCAATACTGGCACCAAAAACAAACAAACAAACAAATAAATAGATACCCCATCTTTCCTATATGCCAGTCTATGTAACAGTTGTTATCTGGGTAATTCACGTCAGTAGCAGCCTTTCCATACTGTTAAACCCTACGGGGATTTGGAGGGGACTGTTATTAAGGAAGCCCTTGCCTTACCCCATCTTTCACAGGCTGACACTTAGCTGTAAGAAACACCAACACAATCCCTGGTTATTTGGGAATCCCCAAGACCTTACTGTCAAGACATGACCTTTCCCCACCTTGCCAGGACACATAGCCACTTACACATGGAAAAGGTTTTTTTTTAAGGACCTGGCAGGCTGGGAAGGTGGCTCAGTGGTAGAGCGTGTTGCCTTGCATGCATGAGGCCCTGGGTTTGATTTCCTCACCACCACATAAGCAGAAAAAGCCGGAAGTGGTGCTATGGCTCAAGTGGTAGAGCGCTAGCCTTGAGCTGCATTCCCTTGGGGAGAATACTGGGCTGAGATGTCAATCTTTTCTAAGGAGGCAGATTTGTGTTAGAATTTTTATCACTGCTTTCTACATTGCGTCTCTGGAAGACTCGGGGGACTGTTGTCTTTAATGTTGTCAATCTGGCGTTGTTTTCTTTTTCTTTTTTTTTTAAGATTAATTTAATAGTTTAAAAAGAAGAAGACAGACATGTCCACCCACACGTAAATCATAGGTTTGGTGCCTATCCTTTGGGAACCCACACACATTGTGTGGTTAAGTCATGTCATGAGTAAAATTAGAGTCATTTTGATGCACCCAGCGTTGTTACGCAGCGACAAACCCAACCCACACTGTAGCGACAACTTAAATGGCAGTCAGAACTTGCCTGGTCTGCATTTGACACCTGTGGCCCAGGCCTTCTCTCTACTGGAGTCTTTGCTCACTTCCTCCCTTCTGCCCTCCCTCACTGCCAGGAGTTGCTGGGGGGGGGATGGAGAGGGGAAGCGGCAGTGCAGGCTGCTTTGGCATTGGACATGTCATCCACAGAGATTGGGGCAGTGAGGAATGAATTAAAACAAGAACCTGATTGGAAGAACAATGTCCCAGTCAGACAGCGAAGATAGAGGCTGTCTTCACCCCTTGAAACTATACAAGTGCAAAGGATTTAGGACATTTGAAAAGATGCCAGGAGCTAGGTGCGGGCATCTCATACCTGTCATCCTAGCTGCTCGGGAGGCTGAGATCCGAGGATCTCATTCAAGGACAATCTAGGAAACTCTTACCTCCAGTTAACCAGCAAAAAAAAAAAAAAAAATGCTGGTAGTGGAGGTGTGGCTCAAGTGATAGAGCTCCAGCCAGGAGGCCAAGTGAGAGTAGGAATCCCTGATTTCAAGCCCCAGTACCAGGACAAAGATAACTAAATGGTTATATGCAGATACTTGTCTAAGTAGAAATGCTGGAGGTCCCAGTCCCAGGCAAAACAATCACAGCATGCCGATAATCCCCCCAAACTTGCTAGTCACCAATGATTACTTACATATATACTTTTGTGGAAGGAAATTTCAACCCCCTCCCCCCAAAAGACATCAATATGGAAAACAGAACATTTTCCCATTCATTCCTTTTAAGCCTTGTCATTTTAATGCAGTGTAAAATGTCTGCTTAGTCCTCTTATAGCAAGCCGGTGAATGAAGTCATGTTTTTATACGTGTGTATATTTGAGTAAGGTGATGTGACTCACTCAAGAACTCCCAGGAAACAAGAAGGGGTGAGCAGGCATCTGGTTAAATGTCTCAGGTGGCTTATCTCTTCCAGAGATGAGGCACAGAAAATGGAGGGAGTCATCGTGCGATTTAGATTCAAGGCACTATGTGGATATGATATTAAAATAATTGCCTTGGTTTGGATGACTTTCCTTTAAAGATTGGGATGTAGCCAGGTGCTGGTGCTCCTACCTGTAATCCTAGATACTTAGGAGGCTGAGATCTGAAGATCTTAGTTCAAAGTCAGCTCAGGTAGACAAAAGCCTGTGACTCTCATCTCCAAGGAATGAGCAAAAAGCTGGGATTGGAGATATGGCTCAAGTGGCAAAAAACAAACAAACAAGAATGTAGGGTCTGAGTTCAAGTTCTGGTATCAGTACCAAAAAAGAAAAAAAGAGAAAAGAAGGATCCCCAATTTAACCATGGCATGCTTTCTACATGGGACCAGCTTCTGCTTTGGGTTTTACCAAAATCCCTTTCATACTTTGGGCTGCTGTTGGAATGAAGGGATTGGACCAACTCAT